GATTTTTCACTTGAGATTCTGTCTGCACGACTACTTACGCTGCTTTAACATTGTGAATGTGGAGAGTCAGTAGTGAGTCATAAATGGCCTGAGTCCAGTCTGGTTCTTCAGAGGGAGATTTTCCCAGAATCTGAGCGAGAGGAAGGCTGTTTGTCTTCTCACAGCTGCACCATGTAGCCTCTCTCATCCTAAATCATCAAGAGTAATTATCATCAACATCATCTCCTCAACCACTTTTCTGCAGCATAAGAACTTTATTATGGAGCCAAGAGCCTAGTTTTTCTCAGTATACCTTGTTTGTGCTGCAGGCAGTGATTCAGAATGATTGCTCAAATGTGCTGATTGTTGAAGACATGAGGGTGGACTTTTTCGTCAGGCACATTTTCTTCAGATGTAAATATGAAAATGTAGTTATATCAAATGTAAAATCAAGACACTTTAGCATCATAAAGTAGTTTAGACACTTTTAGAATATTAATTTTTTTTAATATTCTATTTGACTACAGTCTTTTTAAAGTCAGTGAATGCTCCTGTTTTTCCATTTTTGACTCAAGGGTCATTATTTTTTTAACACTTTTAATACGCATATCTGAATAATATGAGTGCTGTAAGAAATCTAATGATACACACTGAAAGAAACACTGTGTGCTCTCCTCAACACTTTGAAAAAGAATCAGTGTCTGAAGCCTTGAGCAAGTCAGCCAATCTAAATTTGTCTATTTGTGACGAACTTTGTATACCAGCGTGAAAACTATTTGAATTTTGTCATTTTGAATTTTAAAATAATTTTTGTGACAAATTGTTTATGGATTTGTATTTTTAAACAGCAGATATTTAGGTTTTTAAAGGTGAAATTAGTTGTAAATACTGAGATCATCAAGAGAAAGAAGAAATTCTGAATTATGTAATATTAGAATTTGAATGATTACCACTAGTTTCACTCCTAAAAATTCAGAACACAGAAATACAAATCTATTAAATGCGCCACAAAAAAATCTATTTTGTTAAATGTCAAAATTTAGATTTACAAAATGCTTTTATTTTTTATTTATTTATTTTTATTTTTTATATTTATTTATTTAATTTTTACTGACAAGCCATGGGCTTCTTCTGAGATGAGTGTCCTGATGTCAAATGCTGTATGAATCTGCTGTAGGTGGGGTGTGTTATAGATGGATTTCTGGGCTTCCCCACACATAGTCAAGCTGAGCACAGAGTTCAGCGTGTTTGTGTACAGCGCCAGCTCTAATTGAAAACACTTGTTTTACTTATACAGTTGCAACTGGCTTAACTTTGGCTTAACTTCCCCGGCACAAGTTTTTTTTTATGTGACACTTGCAGGTTTACATGCTTGAAAATAGTTTTATGTATGCACAAGTATACGCACAGCAGCAAGCAAAGTTTCAAAGTAGCAAATCTTGCAAAGAACACACTATGCTCTGCATCAGTGAATGCTGCTCATTCACAGAGCCTTTACACAGAGTCAGATGATGCATTTCTGCAATGATCAACATCCTAAATCTAGCCACATTTTTCATTTTTAAAATATTGAATGTGCATTTATAACACTATACTTTGTGTTATATTACCGTGGCAATAAAATTGTAACATGTATGTCTTGTGTTTCCGTTGTGTTGTTGGCTTGACCTAGTTTTCCTGTCTTCTAATTTAGTTCATTTTTTCCACCTGTTGTCTTGTTAATTACCTCATTAGTTCCTTTGTTTGGTTCATGCTTATAAGTCCTCAGTTCTCCCTCAGTGTTATATTTGGCATGTTTATATTGGCATGTAATTCATTCCTGTCTCCAGTATCTTTGTTATTAATGTCTATTCCCTAGTGTTTATCGGTGTCTTCATGAGCTTTCTTACGTGGACCATAACAAAAATACAGCTGCTGAGGGAAAGATGATAAATTTGACATCTTTCTCTCTTCTGACTGCCATGATCCTTCTCTTCATATTTGTTTTCCTCTTTTGGAGAAAAAAATATTTTAATTTATTTAAACAATTTAGTTTATATTATACTACTGGTTTTGGCTGATCTGTTTGGATGGTTTTAGAGTTTTAGAAGATCCAGTAATAACATTAAATTAAACATTAAATAAAATTTTAACACATGCATGGATGTTCCCTATCAAAAGCTACTCTCAATGCTGCGTTTCAATAACTGGTCGTGAAGAACGTGTGTCAACACATGTGTCAGCCAAGAAGTCAGTCGGGCAGTCGGCAAACTAAAGTTGGACTGGCCGCAGGAGACCCCCAAATGCTCGAAGCTTGATGACAGATTACTGTCAGGTGGCCAAGGGGAGGGAAGGAGGGTCTCTCCCCTTCTTTGGCGATCTCCATGGCGAGTTAACTCATTCATGGAGTAAGCCCTATTCGTCCCATGTCTTTGTGCCTTCAAAGTCAATTTATTCGACCATCATGGATGCAAAGGCACGGGGCTACATGATGATTCCCCAGGTGGAAGATACGTTTATGGGCTATCTCTCCCCTGGGAGCTCATCCTCTCTGAAAAAAACAATGCTCCCACCAAGCCCTGTAGGTTGACATCCTCACTGGGGGGGAAAGCATTCCAAGCAGCGGATAAGGCTGGTGCTGCCCTGCACACCATGGGGGGTTTGTAGGTGTACCAGGCTGAGCTGCTCAAGGACTTAAGCAGGAGTGTGGCCATTGTTTTCCGAATTTCGCTGGCCCACAGACCTGTCTCTCTGTGCGACTAAGCCGACGGCCTGTGCCATTGGCCATTCAATGGCACCTATGGTCTCCACGGAGAGGCACATGTGGCTGAACCTCATGGGCATCAAGGGCATCATATTACTCCTTGATGCCCCCCATCTCGCCTTCCGGCCAATTTGGCGGCTCTGTTGACACAGTCGTCTCCAGCGAAATGTTAAATGTTTGGTTGCCTCCTGCCATGTTTCAGGACACCGAACATCTAATATTCCCCAAGCAAAGTGAAGTGTCAAAACTAGTGCCCCTTTCAGAGAAATTGGCAGCATGGAAACTACTGCCAAATATCTCTCCGTGGGTCAAAAGGACAGTAGAGAAAGGCTACAGGATACAGTTTGCGCGTCGCCCTCCGTGTTTCAACGGTGTGTTCTCCACTTCTGTGAAACCGGAATAAGCACATTTGTTGACACAGGAATTGCAAGCTCTGCTGAACAAAGGGGCCATAGAAAGTGTTCCCCTGCCAGACAGAGAGTCAGGCTACTACAGCCGGTATTTTCTGGTTCCCAAAAAGGTGGGGGTTTGCATCCAATTTTAGATCTTTGTGGGTTGAACCGCTACCTCAGAACATAGAAACATAGAAATCCTGCCACAACACAGGAAGTTCCTGAGGTTCGCTTTCGGGGGCAAAGCTTACCAGTATCTGGTTCTTCCATTCGGCCTAGCCTTGTCACCCCGCACATACACAAAATGCATGGATGCAACACTGGCTCCTCTGCGAGTCCAGGGCATTCACATTTTAAATTACATAGACGACTGGCTGATTTTGGCTCAGTCTCAAGAGCTTGCGCTTCGACATTGGGATGTTGTCCTAGCTCATCTCGAATCTCTGGGGTTGAGACCCAATGCCAAGGAAAGCATTCTCTCTCCTGCCCAGAGGACAATGTATTTGGAGGTTGTATGGAATTCGAGCACAGCTGTCTCGTGCATGTGTCGAATCCATTCTAAACACCCTAATGAATATCAAGCTTGGCCAGAATGTTACTGTCCATTACTTTGAAAGGGTTCTAGGTCTCATGGCAGCTGCATCCATGGTGATACCTTTGGGCCTCCTGCATATGAGACCATTTCAGTTGTGGCTCAGAGCTAGGGGATTTCATCTAAGGGCCAACCCCCAGAGGCAAATAAGGGTTATGCGTCAGGAGCTTCGTACCCTTTCTATGGGGTTCAGACCCCGGTTTCTGACTTTGGGTGCCACTCTAGGTGTGTGTTGTTGTTGAAAGATGCTAACAACAGACACTTCCCTCACGGGCTGGGGTGCGGTCTTAGATGGCCGTCCAGCCCAAGGGATCTGGAGAGGTCATCTTCTCGACTGGCACATAAATTACCTTGAAATGAAGGCTCTATTTCGGGCCCTGAAATATTTCCTCCGGCAGTTAAGAGGCTACCATGTGCCAGTGTGGGTGGACAACACTGCGGTAGTCTCATACATAAATTGCCATGGCAGACTGCAGTTGCGCTGCCTGAACTGGCTAGCGCAGCAGGTTCTGCTTTGGGCACAGAACAGGTTCCTGTCCCTCAGGGCGATTTACATTCCTGGGCATATGAATGTGGCAGCAGAAGTAGTCCACCCCGAAGTAGTCAGTCAAATCTGGGAAAGATTTTACGAAGCAGAGGTGGACCTCTTCTACTTCTCTCTGACTCCTCCAGCTCCCCTGGGTCTGGACACGTGGCCCAAACTACATCTTTACGCATTTCCCCCGATCACTCTGCTCCCAGGGGTCCTGGCCAAGGTCTGTCAACAAGGGTCTCGCCTCTTACTGATAGCGCCCCATTGGCCGACCTGAGTGTGATTCTCAGATCTAATATCTCTCCTCAATGGCTCACTATGGGCGATTCCGGTCAGGAGGGATCTCCTATTTCAGGTGCAGGGGACAGTATTTCATCCCTGGCCCGAGCTCTGAAACCTTCATGTCTGGCCCCTGTGGGGGACCAACTAAGAGATGCTACATGTAGGCTTCCAGCCGATGTAGTACAGACGATTCTGAGTGCTAGGGCTCCCTCCACTAGAAGAAGTTATGCCCTCCGATGGCGTGTTTTCGAAAGGTAGTGTATGACACACCATGCAGACCCAGTTCACTGCCAAGTTGTTTCAGTGCTAGAGTTCCTGCAAGAAAAACTGTCCTCAGGTACATGTCTTGGTACTCTCAGAATCTATGTGGCCGCTATTTCGGCTTGCCACGGTCTGATTGACAGGATATCTGTGGGAAAGCACCCTCATGTCGTCAGCTTCATTCATGGAGCTAAGTGGTTGAGGCCGCCCACCAGAGCGACAGTCCCTTCGTGGGACTTAACTATAGTGATCGACGGTCCAGTTGGGACCCCTTTCGAACCACTTGTGTCAGCACCTGTCAAGTTTCTGACTCTAAAGTTGGGTTTTCTCATGGTTATTACTTCTCTAAAGAGAATTGGGGATTTGCAGGCTCTGTCAGTCTTGCCATCCTACTTAAATTTTGCCCCTGGGCTGGTCAAAGCTATTTTGCATCCTCATCTTCCCTATCTTCTCAAAGTTCCATTCTCGACCTTAAATCCAGTCATTCTTGAAGCCTTCTGCCATCCACCGTTTACGGCACCAGAGCAGGAAAGACTTCGCTTACTGTGTCCAGTATGTGCTCTTCAGATTTACGTCCACTGCACTAGCCAGTGGCATAAGTCGGAGCAGCTTTTCATATGCTATGGGGGCCGCAACCAGGGGGCGGCTGCCATGAGACAAACAATGTCACACTGGGTGAGGGATGCTGTAACAAAGTTCGTAGTTCAGGAAGAAGGAGACGGGAACCGGCGAACATTTAAACACTTTTAAACCAACACAAAATGAAAGTAAAGCGGCAGCCCCTGCAACTGCTGCACACAAAACACAAAATAAAGTCCAGGCCTGGTCTTCTCTCGTCTTGCACTGTCGTCACTCCTCCTTTTATCCTTCCGGAGCTCCTCCGTGGAACTCGAGACCGGTGTGTGATGCAGGTGTCATGCATTATCACTTACTCCACTGGCCTCGCTCCGTTCCCACAGCTCTCGGCCCGCCCCCACTCATCACAGATGCTATTGCCCTAGCCTACGAGGCGCACGGTCAAGCTTCACCTCTAGGAGTTAGGGCCCATTCAAATAGGGGGGTTGCATCCTCTATGGCTTTAGCAAGAGGTGTCCCTTTGAGACCTCTTCATTGTTTGTGCGCACACACTACACAACCTGGGGTCCAGACACTTCCAGTGTGGCAGCCTTGGTATTCTCGTTCCCATATGCGTTATTGAAACACAGCATTGAGAGTAGCTTTTGATAGGGAATGTCTCTGGTTACTTGACTGTAACCCTGTTCCCTGAAAGAGCAGGAACGAGATGCTGCGCCTCAAAGCTGCACTGTAGGCGTGCCTGGACATCCCTTCAGACAAAGGTATAACCTGAAGGTGTGTCTGTTTCACGTCTATTTATAATCCCGCAGGTGCACGTAATCAAATGACGTCACCCACAAAGGTTATTTTAGCCAATTCTTGGCATCTTTGACGCAGTGCTTCACAACCGGTCGAACAAAGAATGTTCTCATAAGTGTTATATAAGCGTTTTATTCTCACTGTAGTATTGTTGACGCTGCAGCCATGTCGTGAAGATGCTGTGTGCTTCGTTGTGAAAGCGAAACTACTTTGTCTCTGGTCTTCCAAAAGAGGACGATATCCGCTTCATCATGCCTAGAGCTGATCTGTGCTGGTCGCTGAGGGAATACATCAACTTTCACCGTGGACAAAGCGGAGTCCAGCCCGGGGTCCGTCACATGTGGTTGCCGCTCATTCGTCGGATCCGCGGGCGTGCCGTTCTTGACCCCGCCGCCTTAGCTCACTCTAGCCCGGCCTTAGCTCACGCTAAGCCGTGGCTTCCGCTCACGCTAGCCCGGCCTCAGCTCACTCTATCCCGGCCTCAGCGCGCGCTAAGCCGGGGCTTCCCCTCACGCTAGGCCGTAGTTTTTCATTGTGAAAGCGAAACTACTTTGTTTGGTCTTCCAAAAGAGGACACGACTACAAATCAGTGGTTAAGTTGTATTTACAACACTGTTCCAGAACAGTTTAACGCTAATATCCAGATGTGTGCAGCACATTTTATGGAGGACTGTTTCCTGATCCTGGTAGAGTAGACTACAATGTCGGCAGTTCTGACTCACAGTCTGTAAGTACATTTTCATTTAAAGGATTTGCCACTGATGATTCAAACGCGAGTTTTGGGCAGTGTAGAGTAGCACCTGTTTTTTGTAATTTCTCTGATCACAAATGCAGATAGAGTTTTATGTTTACGCGGTGCAATGCAATGCAACGCAACGTGTAAAAAGACAGTATAAGTCATTATAATCAGTAATTATGTCCCCACTGGATGCAACAAATGGCTCATTTGTAATGAGTTTTAATGTTTTTGTCTCATCGCTCCGGCCGGGACACGGCATCAACAGTATGTGAGGGGCTTAACATTTCTGTCTCACGCTTGAGGTAATCGGCCAATCACAACTCATTGGATAGCTGGCCAATCACAGCACACCTCGCTTTTTCAGACCGATGAGCTTTGTAAAAATCGACGTGTTTCAAAAAGGCGGGGCATAGAGGAGAAACAATAATGTACAGTATGTGGAAAATAATGTGTTTTTTAACTTTAAACCGCATAAACACATTTCATTACACCAAATAGACCAAATAATGTTCTTTTTAGCAACATCATATGACCCCTTTAAGAATGTTCAGCAGGGTCTTCATGGAGACACACAAATGGCTTGTGTCCTCCTTTCTGCTTGTATGGCCTGAAATTCAATAATGACTAAATAAATCAAATAATTGCAAAGCTTTTTACCCATAATTACACTGGTCATTTGTGGTTTGTGTTCTCTTGTAGGATCACACGCGTGCGGTCAGTCCCATCATTGATGTGATCAGTCTGGATAATTTTGCCTACCTGGCCGCTTCTGCAGACCTGAGAGGAGGTGAGAGAGATCTCACTGCTTTAGCACACAAAAACAAACAAACAAACAAACAAACAAAAAACATCTCTTTAATGTATCAATTTAATCTCTTTAATATTTGTTTCTATGCAATGAGAGTAAAAGGAGAAAGATGTTTCTGATGAGAATAATCTCACACGTTTCTCCTCTAACGTCTTCGATATCTCAGACTGTGCTCAGATTTGCCAAGACACCAAAGTCTGCAATCAATAGATCTCATTATGAACCAGTGTTATTTTACTATTACTTATATACTATTATAATATGTATTAGTATTTTAAAATTAACTTTTATTTTCATATTTTTTAGTTTGCATTTTAATTTGAGTTTGTTTTAGTAATTTTGATATTGATTGATATTGTTTGTAAAAATTTGACTCATTTATGTAATTTTATTGTTATCAAGGAATATTAGGAGAGAAACATATGAGACAGAGTTGATACTTAAAGCACAACTCAACTCAACGTTTGTTTATAAAGCACTTTCAAAATCATGAAAATTGACCAAAGTGCTGTACAGAGATAATAAAAAAATAACATTACAAACATACAATACCAACACAGCATGACACCAATATAAATTGTACAACGAAATCACTCACATTAATCCGACCCACTCAAACGCCAAAAGCCTGATGAAATAAGTCTTTAAGTTCCTTTTAAAAATGTCCATAGTTGACGAAGATTTTATGAATAGTGGCAAGGCATTCCAGAGCTTAGGAGCCGCAACTGAAAAGGCGCGATCTCCACTACGCCTTAAACGAGACTGAGGAACCGTTAAGCGCAAGTTCTGAGAAGAGCGCAGATGACGTTGAGATTGGTAAGGAGACAGCATGTCCTTTATATATTTAGGAGCCTGATTGTGCAATGCTTTGTACACAAACATTAACACCTTGTACTGGATTCTATAATTTACAGGTAACTAGTGAAGAGATATCAACACAGGCGTTATATAATCCCGTTTTATTAATTAAAAGTCTCACAGCAGCATTTTGAACATACTGAAGACGAGTAACCAGAGATTCACTTAGGCCTAAATATAAAGCATTGCAATAATCCAATCTTGTGGAAATGAAAGTATGCATAACAGTTTCCAGATCCTTGGTAGAAAGGATAGGTTTCAATTCAGATAACTGATTCAGAATAACTGAAAAAAAGGTTCCCTCCACAACACTGTTTACTTGGCGATCAAAGCAGATATCTGAGTCCTAATTACTCCTAAGTTCTTCCCAAAACCATGCATGTTGTTTGACAATAGGCCATAACTCTCAACCAGTTCTTTCTCAGGGAGTCTATTCCCAAATATAATAAACTCGGCCTTATCCTCATTTAATTGTAGGAAATTATTTGTTAACAATCCCTTTACCTCAGTCAAACACATAGAATTAGCAAATGATGTACAGTCATCACACCCAAGAGGAAGGTACAGTTGTAAATTATCCACATACAAATGATAATTTATATTGTATTGCCTAAAAATCGACCCTAAAGACAACATGTATAACAAAAACAGGGTTAGACCAATAATCGATCCCTGTGGAACACCCCAAGAGATAGTCGCAGGTCCAGAAACAAAATTACCGAGGTTTACAGCACATGTCCGATCCTGCAAATAAGAAGAAAACCACTGAAGGGCAACACTGTTTGTCCCTACATGGTCTCTAAGGCGTTCTATTAAAATGACATGATCTATTGCAGTAAGGGTGGGCAAACTTGGCCCTTCCAGGCCACTTTCCTTCAGATTTTAGCTCCAACCCTAATCAAACACACCTGAACCAGCTAATCATTGTCTTCAAGACTACTAGAAGGCTACAGGCAGGTGAGTTTTATCAGGGTTGGATCAAATCTCTGCAGGAAAGTGGCCCGGAAGGGCCAAGTTTGCCCATCACTGATCTATTGTATCGAAGGCTGTGCTCAAATCTAACAGCATTAAGGCAACCCATTTCCCGAAGTCAATATTTAACAAAATATAATTTGTAACTTTTAATAACGCTGATTCAGTACTATGTTTAGTTCTAAATCCAGACTGAAAAGTATCCATTATACCATTTTCAGTCAAGAAATCAACAAGTTGAAAATGGACAACTTTCTCCAAGATGTTATTCATAAAAAGCTATTTAGAAATGGGTCTGACATTTTTTAAATCCTGTGAATTCAAGTTCGTTTTCTTTAAAACAGGTTCAATGATTGCATGCTTAATCGCTGATGGTACAGTGCCATAAAATAAACTACTATTAATAATCAATAGAATAAAAGGACCAATAATGTCTGCAACCTCCTTAAAAAATCGTGAAGGAGGAACACTCTAATGATACTCAAACAATTGTTTTACTCAAACAATAAGAAGGATTCATTGCATCGATTACAACATTGCCTACTGGTAAAATTTTCAAGCATATAAAATCAACCTTATCAATTAAATATTTTTTTAAACTCTCACACAAGTCTTTAGTCGCAGTAGAGAAAATATTAATAGACAGACTCAGTACCTTATCTATGGCTGCAAACAAAACCTTCGGGTTATTTACATTATGCAATATAATTAGCTAGAAATAAGATCTAGCTGCTTTAACAGCATCTTGATATTGTCATAGAGATTCTCAGAGGTTATCATAAGATACTTGTAACTTATCTTTAAGCCACTTATGCTCGGCACACCGACAAACTCACATAAGATCCCAAGTGACATTTTAACCACAGTTGATTGTTCACCTGAGCTTTGAAGGATAAACTGGTTCATTTATAAAGTCTGATATACCAGCTGATATATTATTATTTTTTGCTTGGCTGATGAGTGTCGGATGCATCTTTTATTTTGACAACGGAAAAAACACCAGCACCTGAGCACAGATTTCAAATGTTGTACTATATCCAGTACTATGTACTATATCCAGTTTGCTGCCATGTCATATTCATCTCATATGTAAAATCAGCATTAACTGGTCTTTGAGAAAATATGTTTCCCAGTGTGTAGCACGCTGTTAGCTTTTATTCAGGTTTTTAACTATTTCTTTATTTGTGAAAAATACTATAGTTTACATTTATTAATTTGCCAGGCTCTACTGCTTGAACTACAGGGAAGCATTTTATACTATGAAAAATACTGTAACAGGATTACAGAATCAAGAAGTCACTAAATTAATACTTTTATTTTACAGGTTAATTTTTTTTGCAGTTAATTATTTCAGTTTAGTTTGTAAATTAAATTACATTTCATCACAGCAGTTGTTGCGCGTACACACCTCACGCACCGGATGCCGTGCGCGCGCCCAAAGACAGTTGGACATAGCGGTGTATTAGAGGTCAAATATGATATAAATACTGTTCGTTTTCTGGCACAAACCGATCGTTTCGTGTCTTAGGACATCAATGTGTCGTCACGAGATGCAGGGTTTAATTTGGATTTGTCTGTGCATGTTTTTTTTACTCTCATAGATTTTGTTACCATTGCCATGCATTATAAGACTGATGGACTCCAACGGTTAAAGTTAAAAATCATCAAATGTGTTCTACTGAAGAAACAAAGTCACCTACATCTTGGATGCCCTGGGGGTAAGCAGATAAACATCACATTTTCATTTTTGGGTGAACTTCCTTTTTAACAACACATTTCAAATTCCAGGTCCCTAGTCGATTGGAAGCAATTTTGTAACAAAAGACCTACAAATTCAAACAACCAGAAGCTTTTAGAAAACTAGAAGCATTTTATTACTGTAGTGGTCTCAGATGTTTGGACCCCATAATAGCATGTCCATACCAACCGCTGTTGTTGCAGGACTCCTGTAATTGCTGGAGGGATCTTTGTCATGGATAAAGGCTGGTTTAATCACCTGGGCCAGTATGACACTCACATGGATATCTGGGGTGGTGAGAACTTTGGTAAGTGATGTTCAGATGTATGATTTTACTCCTCTGCTGTGAAAGTGTTCAAGTGTCAAACATCCAGTCAACAGTTTAGCAAGACGAGCGTCAGAGATCATATAACACTGCTAGAGCTGAATAAAGAAAAGTGTGTGGTTTAAGTATCCTTACTAATATAATCAAACAAACCTCAGGGTTAATATAGTCACCTAAAACTAAAGCTAAAACCATAAAAAAAAGAAGTTTTTTTGTTATTTGAAATAAAGTAAATGTTAACTAAAACAAAACAAAATAAAAAGTTTAACTTATTCTATTTAGCTAGTTGCCAAGGCAACATTTCTCATTTTTATTAGTTTCATTTTTTTAGTTTAACAAAACTAAAACTAAAATTTAAATAAAAATGTATAAAAAAACGATATAAAGCATTTAGAAAATAATAAACATGATAAAAACACATTACAAAATTGCTTTAACTAAAGTTTAATTAAATTGAATTGAAATGAAAACTAAATATTACAAAAATATATTTAATAAACATTAATTAAATATTAATATTAATTACTATTAAAGTTATATTTAACAACCCTTACCAAAAAGTAGTATACTTCAAGTATACTTCAAGTTTATTTTTAAGTATACTTTATGTAGCAAGTATACACATATCAGTGTACTAGTAGTAAGTGTACTATTTCAATACTTATTTCAATAAACTTTAAGTACACCACTAGTTTACAACAATATTTTTAGCTTGTACTGCAACTACACTAAAAGTGAACTTATATGAATACTGATAGTTTTCTAATTAAATACTTGTAGTAGCATTTTTAGTACACTTTGAAGTGTAGTCTTTGTAAACTACTAGTTTAGTAGTTTATACTGCAAGTATACTCGTAAGTGAACTTTACATCATACTTTAAGTATACTACTATGTCCCTATTTAGGTATTAATTTATATATATATTGTTATATAAATCTCTGAACATACAAAACAGCAAAAGAAAGAACAGGGTATCTGCTTGTAAACAAAAACATTTTATTCTAGCTTCATGCATTCTTTTTTTAAACACTTGAATGTGGGTAAGCTTCATAAGTAAAAAAAAAAAAAAGATGTAACATTTTGAACAAAAAGCTGAAAAAAAGACTATGAATTGGATTCTGAACGATAATCAAAACGTATATAGAGTCGATCAACACCCTAAAGCTTGACGGTCATTATTACCTCTTCATTGGTCAACATTACATCAACTTAACACAGTTTTGATGCTGTTTTATGTCTGATGATCCTGTTAGATTTCATGTTGAAGCGTCTGTTGTTTCGGTTTCTTCTTCACTTGTGTTTTTTGGAAATTCTGTACAGAAAATGTGAACTAGCGCCCTACAGTATAACAATGAAAACACGGATTCTAGGAACACAAGTATAGCTCAAATATATTTAGACTTTTTCTAAGTAGGCTATAAGTCAAGTATACTTAAAGGGGTCATATGATGCGATTTCAAGTTTTCCTTTCTCTTTGGAGTGTTACAAGCTGATTGTGCATAGATAAGATCCCTGAAGTTGCAAAGACTAAAGTCTCAAAACCAAAGAGATATTCTTTATCAAAGTTAAGACTCTGCCACGCCCCCCTAAAACGGCTCGTTCTAACACGCCCCCACATGTCTACCTCACTATGTGGAAATATTAGCATAATGCCGCCCAAATGTGCACGCAAAGAAAGAAGGCAGTAACGCAGTAACGCAGTTAGTGTTGAAGCAGCATGTCAGGGAGACGCTGTGTGTTTCTAGGCAAAAGCAAAAGCACTTTATTTGGCCTTCCGAAAGTAGATGCATTTAGGAATCTTTAAGATCACTTACAACAGAACAGCAATGCATTTTATAGATGACCGTTTCGTGAACCTAGGAGAGGAGGTAATTCTGACTTTGCTATGACAATCCGGCGCTTCTGAATCAGCTACTGTTTTGTTAAAAAACATACCTAATTTAAATTAGGCTTAGCTACTGTTTTGTTATTAGTTTAAGTATTTGCTATTGACTGTCCAAATGAAGAGTTTTGCACATCGTGTGTGTGTGTGTGTGTGTGTGCGTG